AATTTTGACTAGTCTTTTTGAAATTATAAAAAAAATGTTTTAAAATTTTAAAAAAATTTGAATCCATTCATAAACTATGTATCCATTTATCCTATAGGGGTAGTAGTAAATAAATAAGATATTATTGGTTAACAAACAAGAAAGGTGTGACCATGAAAGTTGATTGCCTGAATCCAATAATGCTGTTATCATTTTTATCCCTCTATACCCTTCCTATCTTATTGGTTATGCTTCTACCCATAAAACCAACTACTGCTACTACCACCCGAAAAAAAAAATCATAATTAAAAGAACTCATTGTGTGTTTTGGATGCATTTTGGTTTGGTTTTCTGTTATGATATTTTGGCTTCGTCATCATTTATGTTGTTTTGTGTACAATTTTTCAATGGTAAATACGCCGTTCTGATCATCATCATCAATAATATCATCATCACCAACGACCAAGACGAAGACGCGTATCTCTTGTTTGTGTGTGAATAATCATCATCTGAAATCATTTGGTTGGTGCTTGGCGATTAAGAACTTTGAAATTTTTTAACTTGTTTGCTTCAAAAAACTATTAGTGTGTACCTTTCATTGAGTTTTNGTTGTTTTTTTCTACCGAATTTCGACCAAACATTTTTGCTTGTTTTCACTTTTACAGAGAGAAAGAGAGAAAAAACCCAAATTTTTCAATATCAACATTAATCTTTCATCATCATTATTGAATATATATTTTTTTTTTAAAAAAAAAAAGGTTTCTGTTGTTGTTTTAATCGTATACAATAACGATATCAATCAATATAGAAAAATAGAGAGAGAGTAAGAGAGTGTTAAAAGAACGATATAGCCAGAGAGAGAGAGAGAGAGAGAGCAACCATATTATCATTATCATCATCAAATTAAAAAACACACACACGCAATAATTTTATTGGCGTTTCACTTGTTTCATTAGTTTCATTTTCTCTCGCTGTTTTTTTCAAACATAGTTTTTTGATAAACATTTTTTAATTTCCTTGAATAGAATTCAACAAAAACAAAAAAAAACTGAAAATTTCTTTTTTTTTTTCAATCGAATATTCTTCGAATCGAAATCGTTCGATTCTATTTTAACATTGTTTGGGTTTAGTTCGAAGATTATCTTCTTCTTTTCTTCTTTGAGTAGAATTAGAATTCTCTCTGTGTTTCAAGGTATCTCCTAAAAGTAAGGTAAGTTGATTATTATTCATTACCGCATTATTAATTGAATTTCATTTTTTCGTTTTGTTGAAGGTTTTGCTGACGTGTAACGAAGACGACGACGACGACAATCATCATATCGATCTCCTTATGATAATGATGATGATGATGATGAATTTATGAAAATTTTATTCTTTGAAAATGTCCTTGTTGTTGTTTTAATTTCCGACATTTTTTTTCCCCAATTATATTCATCATTCTGTTTGTGTTTTTTTTGATTGATTGACTAGTCCAAAACAACAAAAATCTCACATTTCTTTTCAACCATTATTTATTTACATCGAATGTTTTCTTTTTTTGGTGGATGTAAACGAAATGTGGGGCGTGTTTTGTGTGATTGAGAGTGAATGAATGATTTATTATCGTCTTAATTTTTTTTGTTTGTTTGTTTTTTGTTTGAAAGATTTTTAATGGCCAAAATCAACTCAATGATATTGATTTTGCCATTAAAAATCTTTATGATTAAGTTTTTTTTTTGTTTTAATTAATCTTTTTCTCATTGTTTTTCTTTCTTTTTCATTTCAGATTTCGTTTTTTTCCCATTAGTTAGAAAATTCTGGTCTATAGATATAAACAAAATACTTTTTTGTAAATATTTAGCATCAAATATATAAAAAATTCCAAAAAAACAAACAAACAAACAACTTTAACAAAATGAATCCTGATTAGTAAGTTTTCTTTTTTAAAATAATTTTCTCTGTTACAATCTTTTTATAAATCTTTTTGTTTTTGTTTCTATTGAAAATAGTGATTATTTATTTAAATTATTATTGATTGGTGATTCGGGTGTTGGTAAATCATGCCTTTTGTTACGTTTTGCTGATGATACATATACAGAATCGTATATATCAACTATTGGTGTTGATTTTAAAATTCGTACAATTGAATTAGATGGTAAAACAATTAAATTACAGGTAAATAAATAGTGTTTGTTTGTTTGTTTTCTTGAATTTTTAATTTTGAAATTTATTATTAATTTTAAGATTTGGGATACAGCTGGTCAAGAACGTTTTCGTACAATAACATCATCATATTATCGTGGTGCACATGGTATAATTGTTGTTTATGATGTAACCGATATGGAAACATTTCAAAATGTTAAACAATGGCTTCAAGAAATTGAACGTTATGCATGCGATAATGTTAATAAATTATTGGTCGGTAATAAAGCTGATGTGGTTGCTAAAAAAGTAGTCGATTATACTACAGCCAAAGAATTTGCTGATAATCTAGGTATGTTTGCATTTGAA